GCTACAGGTAGAGAACATCCTTGATACAGACCACTTCACTTATCTGGGAAGTAGAGTTAGTAAAGAGGGTGGAGCTGATGATGATATACTAATTCGGATCAATAAAGCTAGGCTTGCCTTATAACTCTTCAAGCAATCTGGCACTCTAAGGTGCTATCTCTACATAACAAGATACGAATTTATATTACGAACGTTAAGTCTGTCCTTCTATACAGTTCAGAAACATGGAGTCACTAAAACAAATATGGAAAAGCTCCAGACCTTTGCCAACAGATGCCAAATATTAGGAATTAGGTGGCCAGAAAATATAAACTACTGTCAATTTGTGGTAGAGAACTAGACAAAAGTCCATAGCCCAAGACCTCACAAAGCGAAAGTGGAGCTGGATAGGACACACCCTGCGAAAACCAGTTACCAGTGTTTCAAGGCAGGCACTAGACTGGAATCCCCAAGGAAAGAGGTAAGTGGGCTGACCTAAGCAAACCTGGAAGAGGTCAGTCATCAATGAAGCTGAGGATACTCTAATGACATGGGAGCATATGAAGAAAGCTGCTCAGAACCGAGTTCGGTGGAGAGTTGTGGTTGTGACCCTATGCTCCCTGGGGAGTGCACAGGATTAAGTAAGTTTTAAGTATAAATAATATTAATCATAATCATATGATTATCATATGATAATGATATATTATGTTTTAGACTATAACATTTCATAATACATCCATAAATCTAGACTCTAGATCTATATTTAACATAGAAATCGGGTATCATCAATTCTGTAGAGTGTAGTTTATCACATTTCATATGTACAGTAGATCTAGTTTTTTTTCTAGAATTCTAAATTTAGTATGTTTATCAAGACTTGTTATAAACTAAATAGTATTTATATTTATCAAGATCTTTATGGAGCACTTGACGTTAAGCATGACTTAGAGTGTCAGTGAGTTACAGAATTTAGCAAAACATTCTCCTTTACAGAGATATCTGTAAAAAGTTTCATATGTGCCCTGTTCTTTTTCAAAAACTGTTTGTTCTTCATACACCAATGGCAGGCACATGTGTTTCTCACCATTGTAATGAGCCTATGCTCAAGAAGATCAGTCATACCAACTCTTTGAGTTGATGGCTGGAGATTACTCTGCGAACAATGTTTCCCTTGAGAAGGGCTGTGCTCATCTCAAGCCAAAATTCCAGATGTCCAAGTGATAGGCTTTTGGGTCTGGGCTTGTGAGAGATAGCATAAATTATCCAGCTTTTGATGACGGCAGTCTGGAGGAGAAAGCGAAAAGGGTATCCACCTTTTGATTAATTAGACAGAAAAATTATTGTTTACTAATGTATGTGTACCCCTTTAGTGACAGGATTAGACAATATTTTAAAAACCCTACTTCAGGCACAGAGCCTTATAAAATATATATATAAATTGCAGATTTTCCACTTGTGTTCCTAGATCAAATCCAGATATACAAATCCAGAAGAAGAACTTATGTTATATACTTATTTTTTCGTCATAATCTTCTTTTATATCAAGAAGCTCCTTGGACTGAGAAACAAACAGAGGATATTGAGGAATAACTTCTGGTTCTGGTGTTGTTTTTAATTTCACAATTAAGACATTCATTTGCACAGCTTACTTTTAAGGCTAAGGCATTTAATCAAAAATAGTTTACTCTTGCAGAAAAGTAAAACTAATTTTCGCCTTTTTAACTCAAAATAGGTTAAATTTACTCTAAAATTACCTTAATTGCACATAAATTTATTTGCAAATACGGAATCATTCTGTGCATTTATAATATTTGTAATGTCACTGAAAAACCCTGACAACTCTCAAAATCTTTAGAATTATAATAAGAATCAGATATAATTATTATCCAAATAAATTCGGCCTTCAGGTTGCATAATATAGTATACAGTCTATAGTTAAGCACAAACTTTGGTTTCTTACTCCTTTTGATGCTAAAAATTACCTTTAATTTGCTATCTTTTCTCCTTTATTTCATCTAATAACTATTTTACAATAATGCTACATCATAAGTAAAGTTCCCCTTTCAGACCTTGTGATGTATGGCAGATGATGTAAAGGTCATCTGTTTCTGTGGCCCATGGTTAACAAAGGTGTCATCTGGCCAGCACAATGACCAACCGCCTTTACTTTTCCCCAACTGTTGTCAGGTACCCATTAGAGCTGGGTGGACTCAGAGGCGCCTAGAGATCCCGGAATTAAAAATCCCAGTCTTCACTAGGATTTGAACCAGAGACCCCCAATTTGGAAACCAAGTGCCGTACCACTCAGCCTCCATGCTACATCATGTTACAAGTAACCTAATACCACCACACTAAATTCTCACAATAGGTAAAATAAAAATATTTCTGCATCTAGTTTTTTTTATTGTAAAAGTTATAAAGTAAAAAAATAATTTCTTAATTATATATATGTATATTCACATTTAAGACCAAAGAAAATCCGCTGTGGAAGACAGTCGGCGAAAAGAAAATTTAAATCGACCACAGCTGGGCAATGGTTTTAAGCCTGCGCTGGATGTGGCAAAATATGTATGGCACAAGCTTGGGCCGTGTAGCCACAGGAAATACTGCAGTCCATAATCTTTGGGCTCAAAGACAAGCCTTATATACAGTGGCGTCACTAGGGTCGGTGTCACCCGGTGCGATAAGCTTGGGGTGTCACACACACACACACACCCCCCCCCCCCCCCCCCCCCCCCCCCGTAAAAATAATCTTCCCCCCAAAAAAACTCTTGTTTATTTTATTTCTTTTTGTTGAACACTAAAACTGTAATTAGTTAATAAATTGGTTACACCCGAAAATGGTTTTTGATTCTATTTTAAAATGTTGTTTTTGACATTTTATTAAAAATTATTACATACATTAAAAATGTACAATTATAGAATTAAGAAACCTTGAGTTGAACATTTTTTCTATTAGAGATTATTTAAGAGCTCCTTAAGGAAAAGTTTTTTTTATTATACTAGTGTTTCTCAGCTGCTTCCGAAAAGGCAATGCAAGCACTGAACAGGTTTACATCCTGCGAAACACCGTTGATCAATGCCTGGTATATCAACAAAGGATGTTGATTGGTTTTGTAGCTTTAAAAAAAAGTTTTATAGCATCTCTCAGAATCATTCTGGAAAATAGCATGAGAATAAGGTATCTCGCAACAATTAGTCCAGATTCAGCGACATGTCTAAAGCAAATCAAGCTGTCGTATCACAATTTAACAGATGGTGGAATTCCTCATAGTTGAGAAGGAAATGAGATTACGGTGTATTTTATCACCATTTCTCTTTCTTGTAGCCGTCGATGATGTCATAGAAAATACATTAAACAGGCTGCATTTGGGTTCCCATGGGGTAAACCAAACCGAGTTGGATTTTGCAGATGAAATAGCATTATTTAAAAAAAAAATACAATTAAATGTATACACGAGATGACGAATAAAGTTGCCTTCAAAGTTATGGGTGTCACACGGTGCGGCCCGCACCCCCTAGAGACGCCACTGCTTATATATACATATACGTACAATACAATAATGTATGTATATGTGTGTGTGTATACACACATATATATACATTATTGACTTATTTTTGCTTTCCCCTGACTATGAGGGTAAAGGTTGGAGATTTATAATACTGATAGTAGTAGACATAGTTAAAAAAAAAGCATCGTGCTTGTCTTTGCCTTTGGCGGACCATAGGCCTATATATATCATATGTAATCATATGAAATTTTGTATGGGAAATGTGGGGCTGAGGTGTAAAATAAAATAATAAAAAAAAAGGGCGATTGGTTTAGAATCTAAATATTGTGTATCTAAATTGCAGATGTTGCTTAACTTAAATGAAAAAAATAAAACGTCCTATACGACTATAGACCCCCATCCATACGTTAGGTAGGCCTATTTGAAAGAAACTTTTGAGAAAAAACGCGCAATATTGTTATAAACTTGTAATCTATTCACAAAACGCGATATTTTTGTTCTACCCTCCGCTAAGATCTTGCTGTTTGTGTCTACTCCTATGGAAGCGACATGATTGTAAATTTCCAAAGACTACGTGGCATGAGTCATGGCAACTGCGTCCTGTTTTCCTTTGTTGACGTGATTCTAAAAATATATTTGAGGCTCTGTTGAGAATTTCAGACTTTATTCTTTAAATATTTTTTTTTTAAATATACATCTTTATATATTTTTTATACAATGAAATAAATTAACTTTCTAAAAAAAATGGCGATAAGAAGATATATTAAAAAATAGTTATTAAAAATCAGTTGAATTTCTATAATAATTCTTTCAGAGCCTCAAAATCGTTTTCGTGACGTCGAAATTCAGAAATTATGCTGATAGGCGAAACGTCTAGAAAACGTGGGCACTATATAAAGACTTGCGCGCACTAGTCGTCGTTGCATTTCACTCCAATCGCTACAGCAACGTCCGATTTCAACTAGCTGATAGATATTAGTCTCAGAAGCTAATAGTGTTTTAGAGATGTGTTCTAATCTGTCAAGTTCTTTACTCATAAATTGTTACATTATTGTCGGCAATTTTTATTCTAGATCTAGATTTAAGTCTGTCGCTTATTTCAAATACATGAGACCTTATACTACAGGGTACAGTTTATACTGAAAATGTGAGCGTTTCAGTATCAAACTATCTATAAATATAGACTAGATCTACTAAAGATATTAACATGAATTTGGTATGGCAAGCTAGTCTATAACTATATATTTATATAGTATATGCTAAATATGCATCAGGCTTAGGTCAATCACTGAATCAGTAGACCTGAAATATATGGCAGTCCGCTTGAGAAAGAAAATCCAGATTATATGGTAGATCTAGCTACATCTACGTTTCGCTATAGTTTAAGATATAGTCTTTAACTCTAATTTAGAGTCCATGCCTAGGTAGAGTCTAGAAGTAGATATAGATAGTGAATTGAAAGAATAGATCTAGTATTAGTAATTAGAATGACATAGCCCGGACTCAGACCAAGATGCGCAGTTTGGCGAAAAGGTAAGTTTTTTTTTTATTATAGACTAAAAAAATGTATTATTGTTCTTTGCCATCTGCATTAAAAAATTTAAGGAATTAAAGCTTTGATAGAACTTATCAGTATCTGTTAAGAAATACATAAAATATAATCTAGGTTTACTATGGAAAGGCCTATAATAGACGTAGATCTATTTTATAACGTTTTTCCCCTTCTAGATCTAATTATCTGATCTAGATCTTATTTAACTTTATTTTTTTTTACTTGGTCTGCATAAAAAAAAATACAATAATTTAGCCATACACAAAACACACTGGTTCAAGATCTATCTACTAAGATTGAGATCTCAGAATTCTGTAATAAAATTATTATAAATTAAGATTATAGGTTGATCTACATTTTACTTAATTTATAGATCATCTTGCCAGTTTGTACAACAACTCATAAATTATTTAAAAAAAAAAATACAAATAGGCCTACAGCACTGTTTAAGGCAACACACAATGACTTTATTTTTGTTCTTAATATTTTCAAAGTTATCCTCTCTTCATAATTTCAGAAATTAGGTATGTTCTTGATCTGCTAGACCTATCTCAAAGTGCTTATAATAAGCAAAAGCCAGTTATGACTTGCCACAACCAGTACACCAGCACCTTGCTAACCATATTGATAGTCAGGAATGGGTTCACTTGTTTATGATAAGGTGGTTATTCCCTCAAAGTTACATTACCCTACTTGTTCGTTGTGTAATTAGATTCTATTTTTATCCATATATTTTTTTTCTTAATCTATATTCACTTGTTTAATCAAAAACTAAATTAGTAAATTGTTAAAGTTAGTAGCTTCCTAAATTTCAATAATTTATCATTGAAATAATATCAAGACAGTAGTGCCTTTCAGGTTTTAAACCTGACAAAAATTTTAGTAAAAAACGATTTTAAAAAAAGTCACTGCTGTCTTAATCATTTTTTTTTACTGGCATAAAAGTAAAATTTTGCTATATTCTTCCTCCCTTGCTGGGCATACAGGTTATATCACGATGTTAATGAGATACCGCGTCAACATACTCTGCGCTACTTAGTGTGGCTACTTGCCACGCATAGCAAGTGCTTTGAATAGATGCACTTGACAGTCACCTATTATAACGAGTTGATCCAGTTAGAAGTTTGCAGTGGTTAGGACAGTTCTACGTTAGCGTTGTATCCACAAAATATAGTATGCACACACATCATATCTCCAGGGAAGGCTAAAGAAGTGAGCAGTTGTTTGTTTGGAATATGAACTGTATACATGGACATGTGATAAGTGATGTATTACATTAAATGAAAGACCTCTAGTTTTGTACTATTATGATCCTGTTTTAATCTGTTAAAATCTATCTTGTGATTGTTTCTGACATCTTTTACTCCACTTTGGCTTGCATGTCCTATTGAAGACAAGTTGTCTTTATATTTTGATAAAAGTGAATTAAATAAGGAATTATTCTATATCTTTTCTCAAGTCCATTGTATTTGTTTTGTGGTTTATAGAAAAAAGCTATTTGTTTCCATCATCAAAATATTTAAGGCTAAATGCTGTAAAACATTAGCTGTGTCATTAAATAGCCTCGTAATTTCTGTGGTAAAAATACTGAGTTCAAAGAAGTAAGTAGCAAAGCTACAGTATTTTAAGAATTATTTTCTAGCACTAACCCCTAAAATTATGGGGTCTGTTAAATTAAAAATTCTGATTTTAGGGCTTGATAACATCAGATAAAACAAAAACTCCAAGAAAATGATTTAGTCTGCTAAAATGCTCAGTTCTTTTTGATGTAATTTAAGTGTCTTCATTGCTCAGTTCTTGATAATTTAACTTTGACATCTAAAAATATACAATTTCATCACTTCCTTATTCATTAGCTCCAGGCACAATATTTTACTGGCAACAACAAAGTAAATCATAAATGTATAATTACATTTTAATTGAAAAGCAGAAATTAATATTGATTGATAATAATGCTTCTAAAATAATTTATACAGTTAAGCATTTATGTTATTTGTACCTGATTTAAAGATATTCTTTATTAAGAAAATATCTGGCACCAAAAATGAGTAAATACACTTAAAATATAAAATGATAAAATTCAAACATCATTGCAATTAATTTAAAATAACACTATTTAGTAGTGATAAAAAAATTCAATACCAAACTATTATAAAAAAAAAGATCAGAAACATGGTAAAGATGCTGGTGATATTTCAAGACAATTAAGCAGTGGAAACTAATAAAACAAAAGAAGCAAGATACTGTATACATCCACTAAGTCATTGCCTGAAAGATGGTTGTGGTTAGAGCAGTTAAGGCTTCATACCGATACCCTAAAGCGGCCAACTGATCCTTTTCTCAGGTTTGAAAACTTTGTGCTATTTTTCTCTAGTTCTTCTGTATTAAAATCTATATTCATGTAGCATCTCTGATGTAGCTCTTAGTCTCAATTGTTTAGGTGTAGCATATTTTGTGCCTAAAACATATCTTTTCAGCTCTTAATGTTGACAGAACAAGCGCAGCCCTCTTTGCTCTTCTTGGTTTTGCTGATGTCTTTATTATAACTAAGGGAGAAAAAGCTGAGGAGTGAATTGTGTAAGGTGGTGTTTAAAAAATATTTAAGATTTACAAATTCTAAACATTAGAGTAGCCTTTAAAAATGTGACTTGCGATTATTATTTTTTAGTGAAACATGCTCTTATAACACTAAATTCCACAGATGTTTGTATAAATTCTCTTCAGAGTTCTTCTGAGAATAATTTGCGCCTATTGTTACAAGTTCACAAGTGCTTAAAAGATGTTACAGTTGGCTTAAGCTGTTATCTTCGCAGGCGACATGTTTAAGAATTTTTGTTGCTTAATGTTTCAATTCTTGTACACATTTTTCAGGTCCTAATTTTGTTAGCCTCTCAGGTCAAAAATGTCTTACTCAATGTCTCTTTATGCATATTCTCATACATCTTTCTTTATTTGCTGCATCATCATAGGAATGAATGAAAACTTCTTTTTTTTTTTATTTGCCTATAGCAAAACACTGTTATTGCTCTAAATATTTGTTCTCCATATAAAATGACTTAGTGTAGAAAAACCAATTATGTACCTCCTTCAAGAAATATTGCCATCAATTACTTGTTTTAGATTGTTATCTTCGTTCATCATCACATTGTGTAGCTATCAAAATTTACCATTGTTTTTACGTTACCGGTACAGTAAAAGTTTCCTAAAAAATGAATTGTATGTTTTAGTAAAGTAATACTGGTACTTGATAGTCATGCAAATTGGTAACTTTTTTACAGTGCATTTTGCGTTTGCTTGCATTTTTCATTTGACTGTTTTTGTCATCCTTGTAATTCAGTATTAGATGAAAATATGAATATTTATGAAAATATTCATATTTAATAATATTAGGGTAACCATTTCACAACTTGGCTTATTCAGTTGACATTGCTTGAAGTAAGGTATCTCTGAACCTACAAAATATACGAACATGGTTTTTAATACATACCAGTAATTAAAACATAAACTTTAATAATGTGCCTTTTCAGTCCAATGTCCTACAGATCTCAAATGTTTTGTTATGTGTCTCAATTACAGCTTTCTTAACTTCCTTTTTCCTGTAAATGTTATATTAAATAACTTGTTTCCATATAACCTTCACTAGGTATATCATATATGTCAAACAATGTTAGTGCCTGCAGATTTCAAAATTCTTGAGATAGATATGGTACATGTACATGTATTGTGAGACAAAAAGATATTTATTAAGTTTTTTACAATTTAATTTTTACTCGTATCTCTGATGGGAACCTGACATTGGTCGTGGAAAAGTAATGGCAGTTGGTTGTTGTGCTGGCCAAATGAAACCCTTGTTAACTGTGGGCCACAAAAGCAGATGACCTTTACATAATCTGCCCTATAGATTGCAAGGTCTGAAAAGGGTACTTAACTCTTTGTATACTCAGCTACTAGCCAAAATAGCTTATTTGCTTTGAAAAGTTTTATACAAATGAGAGAATAATTTTCTCCCCCTCCCAAAAGAAAATTGAAAACTATAAACATACATTAGTCATATGTATAAAGTATGCTTCCTTTGAATGTCTGTTTTACGTAATTCCATGTCTTCATTCTACTTGTGCCTTACAGTACTTCTACAATCTTTTTGATATTGGCTTGTATGTTAGTTGAAATGCATAGAATCTCTGGCACTGATAGAACATACTATCACTCTCCAGGATTTAATTCCTCACCCTTTATCTATGCAATGCAAATCAATTGTTTTCTAGAAAATAAGCATATACATTTTCCCACACACACATAATGGGAAATGAATAATAAGAATAGTTGACTCTCCTGTTGGTCAGCTGATGGTGTGACATAATACACACATGACACTTTTTGCTAAATCAGTCAGTTCAAAAACAATGTCTCCAATCTAATTACTTCTGTACTATGTGTATTCAAATCATTTAGTTAAATTAGAACTAAACTCAGCATTCTAAACACTCTTCTGCTAGTTGTAGTGAAGTGAAAACATTCCGCTGTACTCTACCCGCTAGGTGTTTTCAGATAAGTAAGTTGTGAAAACATATAGTTGTACTCTAGATGCTCGTCTGCTAGGTGTATTTAGAACATAACTCTGTGCTCCATATTGTTCCTGCTAGATGTATTCAGATAAACAAGTTTAATAAAAACATACCACTGTACTCTAGGTACTCACTGCTAAGTGTATTCAGATCATAGACCTTAGTCATAACGTACCCATGTGCTTCAGATGCTCCTCCGCTAGGTGTATTAATATAAATAAATTTAGTCAGGACATACCTATGCGCTCCAGTTGCTTCTCTGTTAGGTGTATTTAGATCTCTTAGTTTAGTGAAAACATACATCTGCACTCTAGAAACTGATTCTACTAGGTGTATTTTGTTCAAATAGTTTATTTATAAGTCTGCGCTCCAGATAATACTTCGTTAGCTGTGTCCAGATTAATTAGAACAGAAAACTATTTGTTTTGAATTTTCCCATTTGTTTTAGCAAGATCATACCTTTGCGCTCCAGATATTTCTCCGTTAGGTGAATGCCTTTAAATGGTCTGCTAGATTTGAAAATAAATATGTGCTACTGGTTAATATATGACGACATCCTATAACTTAGGACAGAACATATCTCTGCGCTCCAGGTACTTGTCCGATAGGTGTAAACAGATTATTCAGAACAAACAAAAAAAAATCTCTTTCCCATATTTTTTTTAGTAGGAACATACCTTAGAGCTCCCAATATTTTTTCCGTTAGGTCAATGCCTTTTAATGGTTGGCTAGAACTAAAATAAATATGCGCTCCTGATACTGTAGGTACTCAATGTATGGAATAAAAAAATTTGGTATCACCAATGTATTGATATTAAACCAATAACTCTGCGCACCTATTATTGCCTTGCAAGGTAAAATTAGGATACTTTTTCGTATGTTATTTCTGAGTATTTAAAACAAATGTGAAAAAACTGTTGATATATGGAATCTTGTTGCATTGTATTTTTATTTTGTTAGTGTATTTATTTATTTTTTAGGCGCTCTTATCATTTAAAATGGGAAAAAACACCTGCTAGTAAAACGATAGACTTCTGACAAAGCACAAATTGTGTACAAACCTTTGCTTAATGTACGGTACTTCACAAAAAAAATATATGAATGGTCTGTTTTTATTTTCAGAAATAATATATTGATCATGAAAAGGTTTCTGCATAAGTAATAAATAGATGAAATTGAAAAGGTGTATACCTTTGCGTCCCCACTGATTTGGTACCGGTATAAAATTGTCATAATGAATCATTACAAATCTTTTATGTGTGTATATCAAGAGAGTTATATTTGTTGTTTTCTAACAGAAGTCCTTGACAAAGTACTACTCTTATAAATGCATATTTATTATTTATTTTTTTATAATAATACTTCTTGTTGAATTTTTTTTCTTGTTTTTGATGTCAACAATTTCTAATAAAACAACAAGACGAAGACTGACATTGACATGACAGAAATGAAAATGTAGCTAGTCACAA